GTTTTCAATTAAGATAATAAAATTTTGAACATTTGTTTTAACTTTAGCTTTAGATTTTAGGAGCACAACCCATGTGTAACGACTAAAATCATCCACAATAGTTAAAAAATATTTGTGACCATGAATCGATGATTGAGAGAAAGGACCCCAAATGTCTAAATGAATTAAATAAAAAATTTTGGAAGCTCTATTAGAACTGGGAGAATATGACAACCGTTTTTTCTTAGTTAAGTGACAAATATCACAATTCTCTTCAACATGCTTAGAAATAAAAGGAAAATTAGTATGAAGGACATTGAGACAGTTTCCGGAGAGGTGTCCTAACCTAAAATGCCAAAGGTTGGTGTTGGTAATGGTGGGTGTGGAAAAATTATTGATGAACGAAACTTTGGGAAAGACATGACTATTATCCTTGTTGATCTCCAAGTGGTACAATCCATGCTTCAATTTAGCCAAACCAATCATCTTCAATGACTTCATTTCCTGTATTTGACAACGAGAGTTAGAAAAAGTGAGAGTGTATTTAAATGAAGATAAAAGCCTGGAAATTAAAAGGAGATTAAATTTGAAGTTTGGCACATAAAGGACATCATGAACAATGAAATGTGGAGATAGTTGAACAGTGCCAGAGATATGAGCAACAACCATGGAACCATTGGGTAAATTAATGTGTACATGTTTAATTTTTGAAAATTTTGAAAAATTATTAAATGAGCAGGTAATGTGATCAGTAGCCCCTGATTCAATAATCCAAGAAACATTATTAAGTGTATGAGTGTCAGGAATAATGGACTTAGTATGTGAGTTGGTGCAGAGAGCAAAACCGATACCAAAATGCATATCAGTAGAGTCAGGTGGTTTAGACTTGGTCACTTGTGAAACATTGACATGTTTGGGCTGAGAGGAAACTGCGGACAGGTGAGGATTAGGATTAGGCTTTTGCTGTTGCAGGAGGCCAAGAAGGCTTTGATATTGGGCCCTAGTTAGACTGAAGTCTGACCCATCAGAGTTGTCCGGAGTGACAAATGAAAGATTCATTGTTTCTCCTTCTTGGGCAGCGTTGTTGACGACACCAGGCGAGGATGAATTACCACGGTTATGGAATCGGGGACGTCCTGGGTATCGTGGGTGACCAGGGGGATACCCATGCTTGGAATAACATACCTCCACGGTGTGCCCAGTTCGACCGCAATAGATGCATTGTTTGTTGGAGCCACCAATGCGATTATTCCCGCTAGGGGTGCCCCCGCCGCGTCCTTTGCCATAGGACGATTGCTCGGCGTTGACGAAGGTGTTTGGTTCCTCAATGGGTGCCGGTGTTGAGTGTTGTCGTTCCTGTTGAATGATCATGGCAAACACTCGGTTTATGGATGGAAGAGGATCCATCAAAAGGATTTGTGAACGTACGACGACAAAGTGGTCATCAAGGCCTTTTAGAAAACGGATTATAAAATCTTGTTGATGGTAGACTTTGGCTGAGCATGTACAAATGGGGAAGGGTCGAAAGTTATCGAGTTCTTCCCAAAGAGACTTCAGTGCTGTGTAATAGTCAGATACTGAGCGTGATCCTTGTCGGAGATCGTAAATGTCCTCTTGGAGCTCTGCTATTCAGAGTAGACCACTCTGAGAGAACCTTTCTTTAAGGTCTGTCCAGATATCTGCAGCGTGGTCAAGGAAAACGACGCTCTGAGTAATGGGCGGTGACAACGAATTTAGTAGCCACAAGATAATGAGAGTGTTGCAACGCTCCCAAGAGAGATAAACACGATCAATGGGAGCTGGTACAAGTATAGTTCCGTTCAAGAAACCCATTTTGTTTTTGGAGACTAGGGTCATTCGTATAGAACGAGACCAGGAATGGTAATTGCTGCCATTTAGAACTGGAGTGAAAGAGACAAAATTTGGGTTTTCACTAGGGTGTATATGATATGGACTTGAGGGATCAAGACATGGGTCAGGTGTTGGTGTGACATCCGACATTTTGACAGCAGAGCTCCAATGAGGAGCTCTGATACCATAATAGAAAAACACAAAGATAGAGAAAGGAAGGCTCAGAGACAAATGTAGGAAAAATCCTTTTTTGTGTGTATCTGATTGATCAATGAAATGGAATATATATGCAACCTGTGCATCCTAAAGAAATGAAAGATGACAAAAAGGAATAACAGAAAAGGTACATGCAGCACGACATAAAACTATTGAAAAGTTGCAGCACAGCAAATGCTGTAACAGAATGTAGTAGAGACAAAAAAAGGAAAATGACAACTATGGTAAGACTTTACAACAAAAAAGGAAGACTGTGCAATTAGGTTTGATAATCTTCTTTTATTTGATTAATTTGTGTTCTGATTCTTCTTTTATGTTTGACTAATCTAATTTTATCAATTTTTTTTTTATTTTTAACCGATTCATTGTTTGTCGGATTTTTAAGAAACTTCGAATCTGTTATCCCACCAATTCTCGATCCAACCAATTGAACCGTTGGTCCAATCCAGTTTTTGATAACATGATTTTATTTACGGTAGAAGTGCAGGGTTGGGGAAGCCTTGGATAAATGGTAAAGTTCTGCATTGTGACATGGTGTTCAATTGAAGTCGTTGAAGCTGCCCCGCTGCTCATAGGGATAGGCTTTCATACATTTGACTCTCCAAATTGCCCCCTATGCGTCACACTCTTGTCTTGGAGAGATTGAGAAGGGATCACATTATGGATCAACAAGAAAAGTATGAAAGGTTTTATTTTATAAAGAATAAGAATAGACTTGGATTTAGTTAGCTGAGGTGGTAGGTTGTCAGCATTTTGGACAAATGATTTGCTAGATACAAGGGGTTGAGAATCTTGGGATATGTTTTGCATGAAACGGGTTGATTGAGAGGATATCTTTCTGGTTTGAGATTCAGATACAATGAGAAATACTGATCTGTTTTGTCACTCAAAGCTCTCTTTTTAATATTATTATACTTGTATGTGTAAATTCTAGTATCATATCTAATAAATATAAGTAAAAGTTAAGAATGATTACGAAATTCAAAAAATTGAAATAAACTAATTAACTCTTTTAAGCACAAATTAGTTATTTTTATTTAGAATTGGGTTCCATCACAATACATGATTTTTTATGCTTAAGTTATGCTAACAAAATGTAGTTTTTCTACTATGACTAATTTGTTTGATTTTTTTCCTTTTAAATTGTAATCATGTACTTAATTTCATTTTTTTATTATAATTAATTACATGTGATTTTTCATGTCTTGTTTATTTCCATTAATAATAAAAAAAGTTTTGAACATGCACATTTAGTTCTTCAAATTTAAATAAATAGAAAGTAATTAGTTTTAATTGCTAATAAAATAATTATTAATATTTACATCATTTGAAATTTATTATATGAGTTTAATAATTATATATTATCAATATAAAATAGAACAAATATATTGGCACATTATTTTATTATAAGAACTACCGTTTGATTCAATCTGAAATTTTGAATAGGGTAGATATTATTATCATAAAATTATAACACGTATTAACATAATTAAAGCATCAATGTATGAAATATATCATTTAATGACCATGTACAATTAAACAGGTAAACAAACATTTATATATTGAATAGCAAATTCTCAGGAAAAAATCTAAAACAAACCACAAATAAATAATCTTTGTTAATAGTTTCCATTTTTCTTTTTCAGCCTTGAGTTCAAAAATAAAGTGATATTTTTTTTCAACTTTGGACATGTTGAACACTAAAAAAATTAGAAATAACAATGTAGTAAATGACAAATGCTAGAAATAATAAAGGGAAAAGGAAGAACAAACGTGAGAAATATAAAAAATGACAAATGACAAAGGAATAATATATGTCACAAATACAAAGAGTGGAGTGGATATAATACATGAAACAACACACATATATAGAAGTAAAAAGGAGAAAAATGTTTCCTGTAAACCTAATTTTTAAATTTTAAATTTCAAAATTAATGATGCACAAATCACTATTACTATTTGACAAACATTTTTAAGAATTGAGGAAAATATACATATTACCACTCTTGTACATATATAAAGCTGTAAATCTACATATACATAAGTTTCACGATTTCAATCAAATGAATGTGCAAAACCTATTAAAGTCATAAAACATACAAAAGATAGAAATTTTTTTACCTACCCAATTATAAATCCTAAGTCTGCCTTTGCCTTTCTAAGTCCTTAACAATTATTACCAAGATATTAAATATGGTTTTCGCAAACCACAAATATTGAAATTGATTTTACAATTTTAGGTAATAACACAAAAGAAGAGAATGTAATAAAAGTTGTCTATTAGATGAAATGCGATGAAAAAAGAAAGAAAGAAATAGGGTGAGGATAAAGAAAAAGCGAGAGAAAAAACTAATTTCAAGGATTTTTTTGAAGAAGGAGTTCAAGGATTTTTTTTTTTAAGGAGTGTGAAAGAAGAAGAATGAGAATAAAAGAAGATGCATGGGTGAGATGGAAGTGACATAGATTTTTTTTTTTTTTTAAAGTAGTAAATTTGATAAATGATATTATTTTGTTTTATTTGATAAATGATATTATTTTGTTTTTTTTTTTTTTATAGTATTACGGTGACACATGACCAAAATTGCCTCTTATGAATATATATTTTATAGATTGCCTCTTGTGATCCTCCAATAATATATTTTATTGATTATGATAAATATTATTAATATGACTTTTAAATTTAATTTATTATCACTTTGTTCATTCATTCTACAGTTTTTTACTACAAAGCTGTTGTTTTTCCTCTCAGTGGATTTTGGAGATCAGAGATCGAACGGAACCCTAGCAGAAAAACAGTATGGAGAGAGGTTTGAAGCAGAGACTTATATCCGTGTCATTATCTGAGTTACTCAGAACCAAGCTCTGGTAATATCATTCTCCTTCCATCCTTTGCTGTTTTAAATTTGAGGAATTTTCTTCGGTTTGAAAAGCTTAGTGGCTTTCACCTCATCACTATGTTGAATAAACTTGTCTACTTGAGAGGTGTCGCTTCCTCAGCAACATTGGGTTCCCCTTTTATTCACCACTACCCATTACTATTTTCTCTGCGTTGCTGCACAACCACTTCAAATTCACGCTCATTTGCAGTATCCTACCTCATTTACAACTTTGGGTTCTCCCCTGAATCTGCTTCCAGAACTTCTACTACCTATAATATTTGTTTCCAGAGCCCCGAAAAGCCTGAGTCAGTGATCAGTTTCTTCAGAAACCTCGGTTTCTCTAACCCCCAAATAAATGATATGGTTAGAAGGCAACCATGGCTGCTTTCCTGTAACCTCTGCAAAAGGATATTGCCAAAGATTGAATTTTTTCTCTCTAAAGGTATTTCTAGCGCTGAATTTGTTAACCTTGTGGGTAAGTGTCCTAGCGTACTGATTCCAAGCCTGAAGAATCATATAGTCCCAACCTATGAATTGGTATATAGATTCTTGCAATCTGATGTGAACACTGTTGCTTGTATGTTTGGTAATTCATTTTTCACTGGCGGCTATCGTCTGGCACGCAACGTCAGAATGCTGCAAGAGAATGGAGTGAGTGAATCAAACATTGCACGATTGTTTCGGAGCCGTTGTAAGGCTGTGTTTTGCTCGACTGATATTGTTAAGTTGGTGGAGGAGTTAAAGGGTTTGGGGTTTGATCCTTCAAAATCAGCTTTTGCTATAGCCTTGATTGCCATAACAAGTTTGAATGGACCCCGGTGGATGAAGAAAGTTGATGCCTTTAAAAAATGGGGTTGGTCTGATGAAGCCGTCCTTGAAGCATTTAGGAGGCACCCTCACTGTATGTTGGCATCCATTGACAAAATAAATATTGTGATGAACTTTTGGGTCAATCAGTTGGGTTGGAATGCTTTGGACATTGCCCAAGTTCCAAAGATTTTAGGGTCGAGTATGGAGAAAACAATCATTCGAAGGGCACTTGTTGTCCAGCATTTACTTGTCAAAGGCTTGTTGAAAAAGAGTGCCAGCCTTGTTACCCCATTTGCTGTTTCTGAAACGCGGTTCGTTAAAAACTATGTGATATGTTTTAAGGAGGAAAAATGTCAACTATTAAAGCTGTACCAGGAGAAAGTAAGTGATCAAGGTAAAGAGGAGGATAGTGCAGCATGCGCCAGTAATCAAAATGTTAACTCATGAGTACAGGTTTCTCTGGTTCAAGCTCGTTTTATCTAAATTCATTTGATTTAACTAATTGTTTCATTTTGATGGGTTGAAACCGGGTTGGGTTGTTACATTCTCCAAGTCCCATCACTTTTGTTATTCATATCAACTACTTGATGCTTTATGAATGACTGAAGCACGGGAAGTTTAGCACAAATCCAATGCTTTTTTTAACCCAGCATACACTAGCATGTTTGTTGTTGCCTTTGTGATAAAGATATAATTATCATCCATATATTTTGAGTATGCACTGACATGGATACTGTAAATATTCAAACATTTTGTTAACGATGTTTATATATAAAGGAAAAATAGCAAGAAATATATCATATCAAAGCTCCTTTAACCATTGAGTAATTTAAAAAACGTCTAGGTCCCTGTTTCATTATTTCCTTGTTACTGAGATGTCAAGTGGAGGCAAAGTTTGAGCGATTTATCAATTTATCTCAGACATTTAGCTGGGAAATATATTGAACGACAGCTTCTGGATACAGCAGTATAGGCTATGATATTTTTAGTTTCGTTGTTTGTATGGTCACTTGAGATGGTTATGTGTGGCTGAAAGGATACTATAGAGCAGTAGCTTACTTCTTTCTTCAGTTTGCAGTTCCTTCACTAGGTTTGATCAGGAAAAAACTTAGCTGGCATAGTATATTTCTTATTCTTATAATTTAACGGTGCTTTGAGAGAAGCTTTTTGAACTTTGGGCAAAATGTGATTCAATTTACGTGAATGAAAGCTGTGTCCTTGTTCGCAGCATAGTGGTCAACTGGTGATGTCAAGAAAATAGGGCATTTGTGAGATAAGTTCTACTTTTGGAGAAAAATGGGAAAAATATATGAATATTACAATATTGCATTATAATAGGATCGTGAAGCTGTAACAATTTGTTAGTATTTAACATTATGTTATTGAGCTTTTCTTTCTTTTCTTTTCATGTACTGTATTGGTTTACTTTTATTATAAGTTTTAAGATATAGGTAACTGTATACTGAGATATTTGGGTTGTAAAATTATGCTAAGTCAAGTTTAAGTCTATCTTACTTTTCTGAATTCTATGAATTTATTTAAATATTGTATATATATTTTTTGTTTACTGTAAAAGGGCACGCTTAGGGCAAGACTTGACACAATGACAAGGTTCTGCTTCTGCATCATGACATGGTGTTCAAATGTTCAAGTTGTAGAAACTACTCCTTTTCTCATAGGATAGGGGTTCATACATTTGAATCTCCAAATTCCTCAATGGTGAAAGCCTTGTGCACTGGGCACTTTACAATAGAGGTTCAAACACTTAGAGGGACTTGGGACTGCTAGTGGCCAGTGGGAATTTGAAGCCCGTGCTTCATACTTAGAGATTGATAGTTGAGACTTGGGAATGTGGTTCTAGTGAGGATGGAAGAAAAGGTGTTGTAAAGGGAAAGGATCAAACACTAATATGAAAGATTTGTTCTATAAATAGTAAGAGCGGACTTGGATTTAGTTAGCTGAGTGACGTTGCAGGTGGTTAGCATTGGAGCTAATGATTTGCTTCATGCAAGGGATTGGGAATCTTGGGTTTGTTTTCCACGAAGCAGAGTAGATAGACGGAGGGGATATATTTTGGGGCTTGGTTCTTGTACTGGAGAAATACTTTTCTGTTTGTTTCAAAGGTCTCTTTTCAGTTGAATAAAATCACTCTAAACCAGAAGAATTCCACTTAGTTTTCATTAGAGATCAGTGTAGATTGAGCTAAGAGCTTTGTTGGCTATTTGGTGCTTGTATTAGCATAACTATGCTTTTTACTGGTACATGTACTGGTTATTTGGATGAGCTCGTCCATAAACCCGTCTAGTAAAGGAAATTAAGAAAAAAGAGAATTCGTCTTCCTCACACAAGTTAAAAGCTAAAATTAGTCTCATAGTGAGAAATAGTCAATTATTTTTTTATCAAGATAATGTAACACCTAGTTGTTTCTACATTTCATGCTATCTCCATGGTCTTGTGAGATAAAATTAATTCATGTGTTATCCAGTCACAATTTTTGTACTGCATCAGTTTTGGATCTAATTTCACAAATCAGGTTTTGGTTCTTAAATGCATTGTCAATAAACACGTTCAAATCATGAAAGGCTCAAATGAGCTCACAACAGGGATGCAAATTCTCTTGAAAGTCATGGACTTGATATTTGAATTTGATTTAAGTTTAGTGGATATTACTGTTAGTTGGATTAGTTAAGCTTGGCCTGTGTACTTGCATAGTCTATTATGTATCATACATAATTATTCTTTTGTGCAAGAAATAAGAAATGTTTATGAAAAAAGAAAGAATATCAACCAGATTTTTTGTGCCGAAAGCTTGAACTTTAAAAAACATTGCTCATGTGAAAGCATAAAAGAGACATACTCAACAAAAGAAAGGGATGTGCAAAGCTCTGAAAAACCTACTGTAACACCATCACCTACCCTGTGTAAAATTTAGCAGCAAAAGCTGAAAAAGGAAGTAGCATGCTCCCGAGAACTATTGGAAAAGAAGGATAATTGGAAATTGATCCCTCATACACATGTTTCCGACAATCAACAATGTCTGAGAATATATTTTAAAGCTTGCAGGAAATAACAGAATGATTAGTGATACCTCGGAATAAACAGAAGAAACTTGAGAGTTGGAGAATGGTGGTAGAAAAAAGTTCAGCTGAGAACACGTGAGGTGAGTGGCAGAGTGAGAAAGTGGTTCATGTGGTCTCAGGACTACTCTGAAGAGCCAGTCTCCCTCCAAATGTTTTGGAAATGTCTTTGCCTCAAATGGAAGATGAATCATGTTGTATTATCCAACTTGATCCTTAAGGATATATATATATATATATAGGCTTAGATGATGTACTACAGCGCAGTGCTGGTGATACAAATTATAGCCGTTAACTCCCCGTTCCAACACAAATACAAGCCTCCATGTTACAACTACTCTTTAGCACTGTTAACTTATATGAAAATAGGAATTATGAATAGAGTAGTGATATTTTGACAATTAGAAACCATACAATTCTTCAAACAACTCATTTTTATTAATATAATAATCTATAGACTGATTTAATAAAAATAAAATAAAACTATTATTATAATATTAAAACAAAGTTGTTTACCGGAGTGTATGGATTTGGGTTGTCAAAGTATCATTTTCCTTATGAATAATTCGTTTTAAAGTTTCTCCTGTTGTAATTTGTTCTTTCAACGGAAGAAAAGTTAATCACGTGTGATTTTTAATGAATATATATATATATATATATATATATATATATATATATATATATAAACTTGACATCGTAGCTAAATTCGAACAATTGAGAATTAAATATTAAATGACATGCATACTTTGGCATTGCAAAGATATTTAGTTTGACTATCACGAGGATAAACAAAGGATGGAAGAGAATGAAGATTTGATGATTAACACAAACAATAGTGCTAATCCTAGGTGCATGGTAGTATTTTTTTTATCCCGTTATTCAATCTATCGGGTCAATTCTTAATCTCACGGGTTTTCAGAATTGATTATATATAGCTGAATTTATCTTTCTTTTTCATTTTTTTCCCTTTACAAGCAAGAGAATTCATTAGAAAGAAGTGAATACACATGACAACCCCTTTAATTAATTTATTTTATTGCATCTGTAAACTCTTTATAGATACAGTTGAGAAGCATTTTGATATACGCTATTGTAGGTGCTATATATGCTAAATTATATAACAATTGTTATAATGATAGTATTTGGGGTGGTAGAAAAGGCTATCCCCATTGTGCCCATTTAGTGCAAAATATGAAATGCTTCAGAACACACTGAGATTGAGCATACATCAATATGATTCATACGCAATACATGATCATAGCATTGGAATCTTTCATACACATTGTACAGTACCAAGAGTACATGGCTGCTTCTTTTTATTTTTAATTTTCCCATGCAAGTACAGCCAAACAAAGATAACAACTACTCCCGTATAGATACGACTAGTGATGGCAGCGTGTTCTGTTCATCATTTTGATGAATTCCTCTGGACTAACCTCTCGATCATCTGCACGTTTAAAGAACAAAAAAACAGATATAACATCTCAAAATCATGGGAAGCAGTTGCAGAGACAAATGGGAAAGCAAGAGAAAATGATGTAAACTGATAAAACTACTAGTACTTTTTTCAGTAAATCTTGCATACAAGTTCGACACCTCTTATCATCACGAATACTTCCTTTTTAATCTTTTTTTGCCACATTATTTTCTGTTTAATGTCTTAAACGCAGAAAACTGTCAATTAGAAGTTACTTCATATAAACAACATTATGTCAGCATAATCCAAAGCTCAAGCATTCACACCCAGTTAACCATAGAATACAAATCCCCAAAATGAGTAGTAAAAGTTTTCTTGTCAAATTAGAAAGATGACCAGGATATGATTGAGATAACTTACTAGCTTGGTCTGCTTCATCAACCATCTCCTGAATCTCTCTATCAGTGAAATTTTGACCTAGCTCTTTTCCAATACGCTTGATGTCTGATGCAGATATCTTTCCCTGAATAGACCACAATTAATTAGAATCAAGATGTATAAAATTATGGATAGCATAGCAGAAATTTACAATTTTTATCATGATCATTAATATGGAAAGCTCTCATGTACTTCATTTCATTTTTTTATTATAATTAATTATATGTGATTTAAATAAATAGAAAGTAATTAGTTTAATTGTTAATAAAATAATTATTAATATTTTAATCATTTGAAATTTATTACATATGTATATATAATATGAGTGTATTACTTATGTATTATCAATGTAAAATAAAATAAATTATTATTGATATTAACATATTATTTGTCTAAATAGAACTACGCTGAAGCGGATTCAAGAACTATGTTGAAGCGGATTTAAGGACATTGGTTCACTATCCCATATATATAATATTTTTAAAATTTGAGTAAATATTATTTTATAGATATAAATAATTTTTATTTTATTTTTTTTATAATAAAAATGATATTTATTTTTCTATATAATTTTTTATTTGTACTTTTTTTTCTTCTTTTTTTCATATTTTTATCTTTTTCTTCTCTTATCTTTTTAATTTTTTTATCAGACAATCATTTTATTTTTGTATATTTCTATCTTTTTCTTTATTACTCATTCATTTTTATATTCTTCTTTTTCATGTTTCATTCTATCATATAAATTTTTCTCTTTAGTTTTTAATTTCTTTTCTTTTTCAAAGTTTTATCCTTCTAATATAAAAAATTGTAAATTTTTATTCTTTTATTCAAATTAAAATAATAAGATAAAGAGTTACAAATATAAGAGAGATAACTCATAATAATTCTTTTTAATGAAAAAAATAGTAAATAAATTTATTTTTTATTTATTATTATAACAAATTAACATGTAATATAAAAAATGAAATATTAATATAATTAATTGATTTGTTATAAATTAATTAGTTATTTTAATATTTTATCATGTATTATTTTTATATTAAAATATAAAAAAATAGATTAAATTTTAAAAATATTTTAAAAAATTCTATAATATATTATTTTTAAATGATAATTAATTTTTGTTGATCTCCTTATTTTTAAATGATATTTTTAAATAGATTAAATTCTTTAAGAAAAATTTCACTCTACATAGTTTTACCAAAATTATTTTAATACTAATATTATGAAAAAAATATTAATATTAGCATGTCTTTCCAAATATTATTATAAAAGTTGATATTTTTTTAAAATAATAAATTTATTATACATAATAAAATATTAACTTTATCGAGGAAATTTAATCCAATTTCAGGTCCTGAAATAAATCATCACTCTTCGTCTACAATGCGGTTGTTGTTTTCCGATTCACCATCTTTTTGGGATCAGAAATATTATCGAACCCTAGCAGAAAAATAGGGGGAGTGAGGTTTGAAGCAAGAGACTTGGATCTGTGTCATTATCTGAGTTACACAGAAACCTCTGGTAATATTATTCTCCTTCCGTCTTTTGCTGTTTTAAATTTGAGGCATTTTCTTCGATTTGAAAAGCTTAGTAGCTTTCACCTCATCACTATGTTGAATAAACTTGTTTACTTGAGAGGTGTCGCTTCCACAGCAACATCGGGTTCCCCTTTTGCCCACCACTACCCATTACACTTCTCTTTGCGTTTCTGCACAACCACTTCAAATTCACCCTCATTTGCAGTATCCTACCTCATTTACAACTTTGGGTTCTCCCCTGAATCTGCTTCCAGAACTTCTACTTCCTATAATATTTCTTTCCAGAGCCCCGAAAAGCCTGAGTCAGTGATCAGTTTCTTCAGAAACCGCGGTTTCTCTAAACCCCAAATAAATAATATGGTTAGAAAGCATCCATGGCTGCTTTCCTGTGATCCCTGCAAAAGGATATTACCAAAGTTTGATTTTTTTCTCTCAAAGGGTGTTTCTAGCTCTAAAATTGTTGAGCTAGTGAGTACATACCCTGAAGTACTAGCTCCAAGCCTGAAAAATCATATAGTCCCAACCTATGAATTGGTATATAGATTCTTGCAATCTGATGTGAACACTATTGCTAGTATGTGTGGTAATTTATTTTTCACTAGCGGCTATCGTCCGGCACGCAACGTCAGAGTGCTGCAAGAGAATGGAGTGAGAGAATCAAACATTGCACGATTGCTTCGGTACCGTAGTAAGGCTGTGTTTTCCTCGACTGATATTGTTAAGTTCGTGGAGAAGTTAAAGGGTTTGGGGTTTGATCCTTCAAAATCAGCTTTTGCTATAGCCTTGATTGCCGTAACAAGTCTGAGCCGATCGCGGTGGAAGGAGAAAGTTAATGCCTTTAAAAAATGGGGTTGGTCTGATGAAGCCGTCCTTGAAGCATTTAGGAGGTACCCTAGCTGTATGTTGACATCCATTGAAAAAATAAATATTGTGATGAACTTTTGGGTCAATCAGTTGGGTTGGGATGCTTTGAACCTTGTCCAATGTCCAAGGATTTTAGGGTCGAGTATGGAGAAAACAATCATTCCAAGGGGTCTTGTTGTCCAGTATTTACTTGCCAAAGGCTTGAGGAAAAAGAGTGCCAGCCGTTTTAGCCCATTTATTTTTTGTGAAAAAGTGTTTCTTGAAAAGTATGTGATATTTTTTAAGGAGGAAACATGTCAACTATTAAAGCTGTACCAGCAAAAAAATTATGTTCAGGGAAAAGAGGAGGATAGTGGAGCATGCGGTAGTTATCAAATGGTTAATACATGAGTACAAATTTCTCTTGTTCAAGCTTGTTGTCTAAATTCATGATTGAAAAAAACTTATCTGGCTTACTTTACTGTGTTCTTCCTCTGAAAATGGTGCTTTCAAATCTTTTGACCTTTGGGGTGCAAGCTTCGATATCATTCAATTTATGTGAAGATGTGACACCAGTTCTTTGCTTGGAGAATAGATGATGAAAATATAGGAATGATAAATGATAGAATCATCTAGCTGTAAGAACTTGTTATCATTGAACTTTATCTGATTGAGTTTTTCCGGTTTCTTCATGGACTGTATTATTTTAGTTTAATTATAATATAAAATTTTACCTGTAGTTATATGTAAACTGTTTGTATTCACGTTAATAAAACTGTTTGTATTCACGTTAATAAAACTGTTTGTAGTTAATGTTTTTTAGTTTTCTATGATTTTTTTTTAGTTTTTGAATCTAGTAATGCTTTATTTTGTTTACTTTAGAAGTTCAGGGTTGGTGCAAGCCTTGGAGAAATGGTAAAGTTCTGCATCGTGACTTGGTGTTCAATTGTTGAAGTCACAGAAACTGCCCCTTTGCTCATAGGATAGGGGTTCATGTGGTGAGAACTTTACACACTGGACCATTATTTACAACAGAGGTGCAATCATATGAGTGGATAGGAACGAGGGATTGCTAGTTTGAGATTGAGCTCCATGCATCATACTTTTGTCTTGGAGATTGAGAATTGAGTTGAGAGTGGGAGTGATATGATTGTGATTCTTGTGTTGATGCATCGAAGGGTGTAGTAAAGAGAAAGGATCAGGATCAACAACAAAAGTATGAAAGGTTTTATTCTAGAAAGAATAAGAGTAGACTTGGATTTAGTAAGCTCAGGTGGTAGGTTGTCAGCATTTTGGAGAAATGATTCACTTGATGCGATGGGTTGGGAATCTTGAGGTTTGTTTTGCATGTATCAGGTGGATTGGGAGGGGATATTCTCTCTGGTTTAGGCTCTGATACAATGAGAAATACTTTTCTGGTTGTCACTCAAAAGCTCTCATTTGAATTGAATAAAATTTTTTTAAGCCAGAATATTATTTTTGGCTCTTGTTCTTACATGGCCGAACACAAACTTAATCTATTATCTCCCCGTGTTATGCTTGGTGAATGCTTAAATGACTGCGACTTGGTGGTATAATTTTGGGGACTATGTTGAGAGCATTGATACAGGATACATGCCCCAAGCTCAAGCTGAGACGATATCGATCATGTCATGATATGCCCGGGAAGTATTCGGCTATTGAGGTGGAGACGAAGAGTGTTTTTCCGCATGCTGAGCGTATCTCCACATGCTGTCCGGGACGTATCGGTGGTGGTTGTAGACAGCAAGGTTCTCATTAGAGACCAATTTCAGTCTAGCTACCAGCTTTTTTGAAAATTTTGTACATGTTTTAGCATACCTGTGCTGTTACTAGTACATGCTCTTGGTATAGTTACTCTGCTGCTTCTATTTTGGAGCGAATTTCATAAATTAAGTTTTGGTTCTTATGTGCTGTTCATAAGCACCATGAAGGCTCAGGTGAGCTTGTAACATGAATGGTTGCAGTGCCCTGAACTTCCATGATTAATTTTTTACGGCAGTACTAATTGTTAATTACTTTCATCAATTAAACTATTGTAAGTTTCATATACTTATATTTTCATTTAACTTTTTGCTTTGTTATTACATTGTATTTTTTTTAATTATCAATAAAAAATTTCATCTACATTTAAAATTATTGAAATTTAATTTTAAATTTATTTGTTTTGTAAAACTTTTTACGAACAATTTTACCCAAAATAGTTCTTATATTTTCCCTAAACCCTTCTACGTTAGATTGAATGTTATTTAACTTCAACGTACTTTGTAGTTTCAATATTAAGAGTACTAATCTACAGCAAAGAATTCATTTCAACCACAAATCAAACTCTTATACTTCTATAAGAAAAAATAACAAAAGTTCATGTTTACTAGTATAAGTAAATTGTCATTTATTCACTTCAAACTAATGTTACTATTTAAAAAAATACTTTTATGTTTAAATTTTAGTATCATATCTAATAAAAATACTTGATCCTTCAGTTATGTTAACGAAAAATGTAGTTTTTTTCTATTATAATTAATTTGTATGATTATTTTTCTTTTTCTTTGAAGTGATCATATTCTTATTTTCCGTTTTTAAAATATAATTAATTATATGTGAATTTCTTTGTTTTGTTTATTTTCCAATAATAATTTTTTTATCATGCACATTTTTTAATTATTGGTCTAAATAGAGTGTGATTAGACTTTTTTAAAATAATTTTTTATTTCAAATTTAATACATAAAAAATAGTTATTAAAAACAATTTAACGTAAACAGTCATTTTCAACAAGCTTATTTTTATAATAATATTATGATAAATATTATTAATTAGACTTTTAAAACAAATTTATTATCACTTTGTTCATTTTTTTCTACAGTTATAGGTCTTTACCTCTTTACTACAAAGCTGTTGTTTTTCGTCTCAGTGGGTTTTGGAGATCAGAAATCGAATGGAACCCTAGCAGAAAAATAGTACGAAGAGAGGTTTGAAGCAGAGACTTGTTTCCGTGTCATTATCTGAGTTACTCAGAACCAAGCTCTGGTAATATCATTCTCATTCCATCCTTTGCGGTTTTAAATTTGAAGAATTTTCTTCGGTTTGAAAAGCTTAGTGGCTTTCACCTCATCACTATGTTGAATAAACTTGTCTACTTGAGAGGTGTCGCTTCCACAGCAACATCGGGTTCCCCTTTTGTCCACCACTACCCATTACACTTTTCTTTGCGTTTCTGCACAACCACTTCAAATTCACGCGCATTTGCAGTATCCTACCTCATTAACAACTTTGGGTTCTCCCCTGAGTCTGCTTCCAGAACTTCTACTGCCTATAATATTTGTTTCCGGGGCCGCGAAAAGCCTGACTCAGTGATCAGTTTCTTCAGAAACCGCGGTTTCTCTAAACCCCAAATAAATGATATGGTTAGAAGGCAACCATGGCTGCTTTCCTGTAACCTCTGCAAAAGGATATTGCCAAAGTTTGAATTTTTTCTCTCAAAAGGTATTTCTAGCGCTGAATTTGTTAACCTTGTGAGTAATAATCCTAGTGTACTGATTCCAAGCCTTAAGAATCATATAGTCCCAACCTATGAATTGGTATATAGATTCTTGCAATCTGATGTGAAAACTGTTGCTTGTATGTTTGGTAATTCATTTTTCACTGGCGGCTATCGCATGGCACGCAACGTCAGAGTGCTCCAAGAGAATGGAGTGAGTGAATCAAACATTGCACGGTTGTTTCGGAACCGTTGTAAGGCTGTGTTTTGCTCGACTGATATTGTTAGGTTGGTGGAGGAGTTAAAGAGTTTGGGGCTTGATCCTTCAAAATCAGCTTTTGCTATAGCCTTGATTGCCGTAACAAGTTTGAGCGGATCCCGGTGGAAGGAGAAAGTTGATGCCTTTAAAAAATGGGGTTGGTCTGATGAAGCCGTCCTTGAAGCATTTAGGAGGCACCCTCACTGTATGTTGGCATCCATTGAAAAAATAAATATTGTGATGAGCTTTTGGGTCAATCAGTTGGGTTGGAATGCTTTGGACATTGCCCAAGGTCCAAAGATTTTAGGGTCGAGTATGGAGAAAACAATCATTCCAAGGGCTCTTGTTGTCCAGCATTTACTTGTCAAAGGCTTGTGGAAAAAGAGTGCCAGCCTTTTTACCCCATTTGCTGTTTCTGAAACGCGGTTTCTTAAAAAGTATGTGATATGTTTTAAGGAGGAAAAATGTCAACTATTAAAGCTGTACCAGGAGAAAGTAAGTGTTCAAGGTAAAGAGGAGGATAGTGCAGCATGCACCAGTTATCAAAATGTTAACTCATGAGTACAAGTTTCTCTGGTTCAAGCTCGTTTTATCTAAATTCATTTGATTTAACTAATTGTTTCATTTTGATGGGTTTAAACCGGGTTGGGTTGTTACATTCTCCAAGTCCCATCACATTTGTTATTCATATCAACTACTTGATGCTTTATGAATGATTGAAGCACGGGAAGTTTAGCACAAATCCAATGCTTTTTTGTAACCCAGCATACACTAGCATGTTTGTTGTTGCCTTTGGGATAAAGATATAATTATCATCCATCTATTTTTAGTATGCACTGACATGTATACTGTAGCTACTATTTTTTATATATCTCATTTTTAGGCTTGGCTTGTCGCTGAAAATATTCATACATTTTGTTAACGGGGTTTATATTTAAAGGAAAAATAGCAAGAAATATATCATATCAAAGCTCCTTTAACCATTGTGTAATTTTAAAAATGTCTAGGTCCGTGTTTCATTATTTCCTTGTTACTGAGATGTCAAGTGGAGGCAAAGTCTGAGCAATTTATCTCAGACATTTAGCTGGGAAATATATTGAACGACAGCTTCTGGGTACAGCATTATAGGCTATGATATTTTTTAGTTTTGTTGTTTGTATGGTCACTTGAGATGGATATGTGTGGCTGAGAGGAAACTATAGATCAGTAGCTCATTTCCTTCTTCAGTTCTGCAGTTCCTTCACTAGGTATGATCAGGAAAAAACTTAGCTGGCTTAGTATGTTTCTTATTCTTATAATTTAACGGTGCTTTGAGAGAAGCTTTTTGAACTTTGGGCAAGAAGCTTTAATGTGATTCAATTTACGTGAATGAAAGCTGTGTCCTTATTTGCAGCATAGTGGTCAACTGGTGATGTCAATAAGATAGGGCATTTGTGAGATAAGTTCTATTTTTGGAGAAAAATGGGGAAAATATATGAATATTACAATATTGCATTATGATAGGATCGTGAAGCTGTAACAACTTGTTTGTATTTAACTTAATGTAATTGAGCTTTTCTTTCTTTTCTTTTGTTTTCATGTACTGTATTGGTTTACTTTTATTATAAGTTTTAAGATATAGGTAACTGTAAACTGAGCTATTTGGGTTGTAAAATTATGCTAAGTCAAGTTTAAGTCTATCTTACTTTTCTGAAAGCCTTGACACAATGACAAGGTTCTGCTTCTGCATCATGACATGGTGTTCAAATGTTCAAGTTGTAGAAACTACTCCTTTTCTCATAGGATAGGGGTTCATACATTTGACTCTCCAAACTCTTCAATGTTGAGAGCCTTGTGCACCGGGCACTTTACAATAGAGGTGCAAACACTTGGTAGGGACTAGGGATTGCTAGTGGCCAGTGGGAATTTGAAGCCCGTGCTTCATACTGACTTAGAGATTGAGAGTTGGGACTTGGGAATGTGGTTCTAGTGAGGATGGAAGAAAAGGTGTTGTAAAGGGAAATGATCAAACACTAATATGAAAGATTTGTTCTATAAATAGTAAGAGCGGACTTGGATTTAGTTAGCTGAGTGAGGTTGCAGGTGGTTAGCATTGGAGCAAATGATTTGCTTCATGCAAGGTATTGGGAATCTTGGGTTTGTTTTCCACGAAGCAGAGTAGATAGAGGGAGGGGATATTTTTTGGGGCTAGGTTCTTGTACTGGAGAAATACTTTTCTGTTTGTTAGGTCTCTTTTCAGTTGAATAAAATCACTCTAAACCAGAAGAATTCTATTTAGTTTTCATTAGAGACCAGTGTAGATTGAGTTAAGAGCTTTGTTGGCTATTTGGTGCTTGTATTAGCATCATTATGCTTTTTACTGGTACATGTACTGGTTATTTGGATGAGCTCGTCCATAAACCCGTCTAGTAAAGGAAATTAAGAAAAAAGAGAATTCCTCTTCTACACACAAGTTAAAAGCTAAAATTAGTCTCATGGTGAGAAATAGTCAATTATTTTTTTATGAAGATAATGTAACACCCACTTGTTTCTACATTTCATGCTATCTCCATGGTTTTGTGAGATAAAATTAATTCATGTGTTATCCAGTCACACAATTAGTGTACTGCATCAGTTTTGGATCTAATTTCGCAAATCAGGTTTTGGTTCTTAAATGCATTTTCAATAAACACGTTCAAATCATGAAAGGCTCAAATGAGCTCACAACAGGGATGCAAATTCTCTTGGAAGTCATGGACTTGATATTTGAATTTGATTAAGTTTAGTGGATATTACTGTTAGTTGGATTAGTAAGCTTGGCCTGTGTACTTGCATAGTATATTATGTATCATACATAATTATTCTTTTGTGCAAGAAATAAGAAATGTTTATGAAAAAATAAAGAAAGCATAAAAGAGACATACTCAACAAAAGAAAGGGATGTGCAAAGCTCTGAAAAACCTACTGCAACATCATCACCAACCCTCTGCAAAATTTAGCCGCAAGAGCTGAAAACGGAAGTAGCATGCCCTCCACAAGTATTGG